GGAGATAACTGTTGATACCCAGGCAGGAGAGTACGGCGAAACCCTCCTGGACGCCTGCCTGGTGAATAGGGGGAGAGTACGGGAGTTTGTTCCTGGACACTCGGTCGACATGGAGAGTTCGGCGAATATTCCTGGACGCCTGTCGACTGAGAGAGGACAGAGCATCTCCTGGACGCCCCAGGTAAAGTACAGGAGAGTACGGGAGAAAACTACTGGTCGCCCGTTCGGAATGGAGAGTTCGGAGAGAATACCTGGACGCCATTCGAACGGGAGAGAACAGAGTTACTCCTGGACGCCTGGTTGACGAAAGGAAAAGATTAGATAGAGAGTAAAATATAGGGAAGGAAAGAGAGAGAAAGAGAGAGAGAGAGAGAGAGTTATGTAATCGTAGGTTCTTTACGTGAATTGCGAAAGAAAATTTGTAACTCCGTTAATTCTTGTATGCCTCTCCTAATATCCTCGAATAAATATTCCTATTTTCCAGAATTCCTGATTTCCTTACGATTTCCTACTGTCCGAATATCCTATCCTGCGTATAAGATGGCTACAAAACGGATTTCAGTATTTGCCAGCGCATATTTTGTAATTTGAAGTGATGAAAAGAAATTTAATCTCGATGGACTACGTAGATGGATTCAGTTCATGTTGGTGGGATTTAAGTAAGGAACCATACTATTTTTCCAAACGAAATTTGGGGGTCGGTTCATATACATGTATGATATGGGCTAGGTTTAGTGCGTTCGGCACCACAGAATTTGCATTCGTTCCACCAAAAATGCTGTCGTATATTCGCCGCTTTCCAAACGTTAAATTTACCTTCTAACAAGATAATGCTACCGCACATGCAAGTAGGAGTACTTGCATATCTGGTCATCTCGTTTCCCAGATCTAAATTCAATAGAGAATTTATGGGGAATTCTTGTTCGAGATATCTACAGTGATTATCGTCGATACAATACGATTGCAATACTAAAAAATGGCATTATGACAGCATGGACGAGAATAAAGTTCGAAACCATGCATAATTTAATTGCGAATATGCCAAATAGAATTTTGCCAACTATATAGAGTTCCGGTGGATGTACAAAATATTAGTTATGCATATTTGCTTCCTTTTTGTTATAGTAATAAATTTTTATTAAGTGCGTCTAAATTTTTGATACGGCCGTTTTTCGCATTTAGGATAAAACATATCCCTCTACTGCTGCATATGAATATTTTTTATGGTAATCATAATTTTTCAAGGTCTTCGACACGTACGATAAAAAAAATAAACCGAAGACTCATTAGAGGGTGTGTTTTGTAAAAAATACGGCGCATCTAAACTTTTGATATGCAGTGTAGTTCTTAATAATGCATTTTAAAATTAAAGATGTTCGTCTTATTTTGACTTTAAAGTCTATTCAAAACTAGGGAAAAAAACAATAATTTTGGAAAATTTTGACTTGCCAGATCAAATGTGCAAAAATTAAATTCCATCAGGTAAGCACATATGTTACGTAAATCGTCATATATGTCTACGAATCATTTTATATGTTTATGGTCAGTTTATTATGTGAAATGAAGTTAATTAATTGTTTGTAAATCGGAAGGTGAAATGAAATAAACAACTATTTTTATTACACATTCGCTTTCAATTTGCGTTAGAAGGAACAATGATAGGTGAGTGAGAGGTAATTGATAGTACATCATTTCATATTTCAAATTAGTCCGCATAATGGGACTTATGCATCATCGTCCAAACTTGCGACTTTTCGCACATACATTATTTTTATTGGAAAAGAATTTGACAATTTAAATTACATCATATAAAATCATTCATGTGTAATATTTACATATGTTTACATATTTAATTACACATTTTAATTATAAGTAGCTATCGCATAAATGCTACATATATGTTCCGGAGAAAACGATAGTGGTTTTCTAGGAAAATAAAAATATAAACTTCATCGTTGCTTTTGGTAATAGACAAATTTTCTATCTCAAATTTTTTTATTTAAAATTTTGGCAATTTGGGCATAAGAAAAGATAAGATATCGAAAATATAGAAATTTGGATGTTCTGAAATTGGAAAATTAGAGAAGTAGGAAACAAAAAAACTAAGGGATCCGTGAAATAATAAACTATACAATTTCTGATTGGGCGCAATCAACCGGAACAGTCAACGATCCGGAACGTGAGCATCGCGCCACAATATAAGGGGCGACAAAACTCCTGTCGCACCAGTATCAGTGTATCCCCTGATGAAGCTAGCTGCAATGCTGGCGAAACGTTGGGAACTCGCTTCCTTTAGGACACGGCTTACACTCGAAAGCCTCAACCGTAATACCTGTATGACGCCGGGCCGTGAAAGCCTCAAGTCTCTTTTAACTATACAATTTGGGCATTTGAAAAAGGAGTTTCAAGTTGCAGAGGTTCTGAAATTGCAAATTTTGGAAATTTGGGAAATTAGTAGTTTGGGAGTTTCACAAATGGAAGAATTTTAAAATTCAGAAATTTATTAAGATCTAAATTTAAGAATTTGAGTTTATGAAAATTTACAAACATTAAAATTTGAAGATTCGAAAATTTTATGATTGAATAATTCAAGAAAGAGAAAGTTACAAGTTTGAAAATGTATAAATCTGAGAATTTGAAAATTTGAAGATTTGGAACGTTTAGGGATGTTTGAGCGTTCGATAGTTGAAGAATACAAAATTAATAATAATAATCTATAATTTATATGATCACTTCAGTAACTAAAATGGTTGCGTCATTATTGATGTTTCTAAAAGATTAACCTAACCAAAACAAAGATAACCTTTCGTCAAAATTACAGCACTTCACGTGTATGATATAGAAAAAGACATCGGCACACTATTTTAAATTCTCGCAAAATACTACAAAGTTGTAAAAGATTCTATATTCAAAATTATCCACGATTATCTCATTTGACGAATTTTAACGTCTTATTTTTTTATCTTGACTATCGCGATATGCACTATAACTAATTTGAACAACGACTCACGATTAGAAAGCGTATATCGTAATGTTCAGGTTAACGTCTACAGATATCATTATTACGTGCTTCACCGATCTCTAGATAAATGGTTACATTTTTCGGTATCGCCGTCAGCACGTTAGGCCCGATGGACAATAGAGGATTACCTTCAAGGTAAAGCCGTTCCAGAGGAAAATTATCTGTATTGAACATATATTCAATGGAAGTAATACCGTTTCCCGATAGGTCTAAGTATCGAAGGTTCTTTAGGTATTGGAACCAATACTCCGGCAAGTATTTCAACTTATTATCGTTCAAATGTAATTCTTCCAACCATTCTTGAGACTTGAATGTATCCGAGTCGATCAGCTGGATCCTGTTTCCACCTAAAGATAACCTTTTCAGTTGTGTCAAATTTTGCAACGAGTTGACTGATAAATACGTTAAGTTGTTGCAAATCATCGACAAGATGGTTACGTTTAGAGATTCCTTTATAGGGACAATATCGAAATGATTATAATCCAAAATAACAGTGTCCAGCGAGGTCAAGTTCGTGAATGTTTCAGGATGCAAGGTTGACAAATTATTCATGGAGAAGTCCAAGTATCGAAGATTAAGCGTTCCGTTGAATGCTTCCTTACTAATAAAATTAAGTTTATTTTCTATTACAGAAAGGTATTCCAAACTGTCTAAACCCGATAAGTCCAAATCATAATTACTGCCAATACTGTAAAGCTCATTACCATCCAACAGTAATTCTACTAGATTGCTTGATTGCTTAAGATAAACGTTTGAGAGCCTATTGTTGTTAGCATTCAAACGTATCAATGTATCGTCCCATTTCTCGAAAGGGATAAAGCGATCAAATCTATTTCCGGAAATGTCTAGATACTTTAAGTTTGGAAACGGATATTTTTTTTCGCTCCATATTTGCTTAATGGTACCAGATTTGTGTCGATTGCTTAAATCCAAATATTCAAGTGTCGGGTACACTTCATGTACGTGTATTTCACTATAGTTAAATCGTGCATATTGATCGCGGAGAATTAGCTGTCTGATGTTCGACACGTTACCAAAAGAGAACATAGCTTCTGGAGGAATCCTGTTTCCTTCGAGATTCAGATATACCAAATTTGGTACACCATCGAAAGCACCAACCGTCATATTAGCGACGTCACTGTATGGAATGCTTAGACATCTCAGTTCAGGGGAATAAATGAAATTTGGCTGTAGTTGGCTAGCAAGTACGTATTTCATGACTAATGTCCGGTTTAAGCAAAAGTCCGGAAAGTCTTCTTGTGCAATTCCGTGCACCAATAGCGATGAAAGAATCGTTGCGACGAGTAACATCGTTGAAACTGCAGTATTCCTGAAAAAAGTATTTGTAATTATTTGTTGACACGATCAGCTATTAAAATAGCATTTCTCTGCTTTAGACGCAGAAAATACTGTTTGGAGACTTTGATTTCGTAAACGACACAGTCAAATTGTATAAACCGAAATACGTGTACCCAGGGTGATTCTTATTTTCGATTTTCAAATTATTTTTGTGGCTAAAAAGGTTGCAGTATACAAAAAATCATGTGTGCAAAGAATTCGATCGAATAACGAGAAAATATGCCCACGGAACTTTAAACATTAATATAATTAAATAAATACTCTTAAATTCAGTTCTTCGATTAATTTCTGAACGATTGATTTTATCAAGAATCGCAGATTTGAGTACGATGTATCCTTTGTGTTTTGCTACTCTTTTTTTGTACGACAAACGATTAAGAAAAAAAAAGATAAATGCAAAATCACCTAGGTAGTGTTTTTGTTAATTTTTCTATACTTTAACCCTTTCGCTACGGCAGGCCCGTCCGCCGAAGTACCGTCATGGAATAGAACACTCATACCCAAAAGTCGTGGCGCGGATGCCGCGTATATGCGGCGCTCGTACCCACATGTCGTCGAGTGGATGCTGCATATATGCGGCGCTCGGCGCGAAAGGGTTAAAAATTAAAGATTGCTTTGATTATTATTTTTTCTCATAGTGGACGAAGCTTTCACTAATCAAATATATACTTTATATTCACGAACCGATTACTTTAAAAGTATTAATCGAAGACTTTTTGAAAAGTCCAAAAATTTCTGTAAGCTATCGTAAAAAGAGATATTACGTACAATAAAGGTTCGAGTGAGAAGCATATCGGTTATTATGTATACTTTTTATTTTCGCTTTTGTTTGTCCACAAATGTTAGTTTCTTGTTAAAGCCTTTTCTGTATCCTAGAACCCTTCATCAATATTTTTCATCATTAATTACGTCCAGTTTATTTATTAAGTCCAAAGTTTTGACAATATTTTCACTTTCGGAGTAATTTGAAAAATCTTTTTATGAAGATTGATCATCTAACATAAATCGTGCAGGGGGTGCTTTAATTCTATTTCAAACAAATTGTCGAATTCTATATTTAAAAATTTTAGCTACTTTGTAAGTTTATGATTGGGCTTATATTTTTTTTTCGATAACTGCGACTTGCGGTTTGGAATATAATTCTTATTTTTCGATTCAAATAGGAAATTTAATTTACAAATTGAGAATGATAAAACTAAAATATAAAACAAACGTACGATAACAAAGATGTGATATAATATTATAGTATAATGAAAATATAATAAAAATATAATACATAGTCCGTGAAAAGAAATCAATATAGCTTATTTATTTGTAAATAAATAAGAGTAAGAGATAACCGAGACAAGAATATCATGTTTTACACTTGGTCTACTTGTCAATCATCTTTTAAAGGTATAAAAACCAAAATTATGTGATAAATGTAGGGATGGCTATAGTTCATATGAAACGGTTTAACAAATAATATTATCGTCCGATTTCTCTCTTCGCGTTCTCTCAAAAAGTCTCTAACATAATGCCCCGTCCTCAGGTTTTCCCGAAGGATTTATTGGGAACGCGTCCTGAAAAACATCATGTGACGAGGAGGTGAAAGTGACCAAGTCCTGCACACATTCGGTCCCAATCATCACCGAAAGTCCCTCATTTACGATGGCTCTAAAGCGACTCTGGCCATCGTCACTATTAATTGTTTACTTGTTCTTAAATATAAAAGCATATCTATATCATTGGGCCTATCATTTAACTCAAATCGAGCTTCTCCGTGATAAGTATTAAGTCAAAGAGTCACATTTTTCCTCAGCAACTATCATTCTTACTTTCGTCCACGCCCATCACGAAAGTAACGTTAAAAATTTCGTAGAGAATGAAGTAAAAATACGTTTTCTGATGCAGCGTAAGACTTTTATTAGGAGAAATAATAAGAAGAAACGCTAAAATAAGTATATAACGTTTTAAGTACCGTTAAATACAATTGCTACACGTGTAAGTAACAAGTTACAAAAATTGTTCATCGATTAAAAATATTAAATAATAAATGCAAATAAGAATTTGATATTTATCAATTCATACCAAAGCTGTATAAAAATAGCAGTGCAATTTTTCAAAGTATCAGTAGTTGAATTCCTGCTAGGTATATCAAATTCCTGCTAGGTATAACAACAAATGAAATTTATCGAACATTATCGACGGCAATTGAAGATATGCCAGATATACTACTTACGTACTTAATTAACTTTTTTCTAATTCGACCTTTACTCATAATCAGATTAAGAAAGTGTCTTTTGACATTCATTTTGATAACATTTCGATAGGTATTAATTTTAACTATTATCACTATTCACACTTTTTTATCGAAAGTTTTATGCTTTATCCAAATTAAAAAAGTAATATTAGATACACTGTTTAAGAAATGGAGGTGACGGTCTAACGATAAAGAAACAAACTAATGTTAGCACTCTATGAGCTTCTGATAGTCATGTAACTTTTGCTTAAATACATTTTCTACTATGAATGATGTACCACTTATTTTTAATCGTAATCTTTCTCTGTACTTATATTATCGTTTTACTTCTGACACGCATGACATATCGACATTCTAACGCTCTTGAACGAATTATAACAATTTATAGGAAACTAAGAAATTGAGTGCAGTAAAACTCGGTACCCACGGATGCAAAACACCCCGTTTTTCTATACTATGCGGTTGATAGCGGTGTATAGTAGCGAAAATACTTCCAAGTCCAATCTGTCTAGGTTCACATAATTCTATTAATTTGGCAGGTTTCGCGACACTGCAGATAGAATCCACATTTGTAGAACTTTCTTTTATATACATGTAGAAGTTATAGATATATGTAATACTAAAAGCTTTAAATCGATAAATTTATACAATTTCTTTAAACTTTACACTTTCTATGGCTATGAATTTGTAAAATTTCCTTAAACTTCACAAATTTATGATGCAAAAAAAATGATTAAAAATATATCATAAAATCTTTGATTATATTGATAGTATGGCGAGCTTATGAACGAACAGAATTATATAACAAAATTATGTATCATTAATTAATTAGAACTTTAACAAATGTATTTCCACATTCGATTGTGTCACTGTGAAACGTGTTTAAAGATGCGATGTACTTTTATGGTAATGTGTAATTATATCTATCTAAAAGTAACACATTTTACTATTATATTTTAATTAATTTAAACGTTTAAAATACGCATAAATGTTGTTACTAACGAAATTCCCACTCAATCGATCATCACTGAGACTCATTTTAGCAGTAAGATATTTACATCAGCCTTCTTGTGTTTTGTTTTATTACGTGTAAATTATGATTTTAAGAAAAA